TTTCTATGTCTAACCGCGCGATCATTACCGGCGAACATAATGAGTCGTCTCTTTTCTCCTTCTCTCTCTCTCTCTCTCTCTCTCTCATTTCTTTTTTACCCATCTTTCTTTTTGTCTCTTTCTCCCTCTTTAGTTTTTTTTTCCCATTCGTATATGTACCCGTGACGCAGTGCTTTGCAACGCCACGGTCGAGCGCATTTTAGCAGGAAGGGATGCATACGTGTATGTATGGTAGCAATAACAGAGCGGGAGAACGGGACCGATCGGCGGTGAACCGAATTGAAATTAAAACGAAATCAAAAACATGACAAACCGCCGAGCGAGTTAGCGGGGCAAATTGGCATGAGTTGATAGCGAGTTGAATCGGTGAGCGGGCTTTTATTTTAAAATCCGACCCACCCGCGATCCCGATCGCCTGTGGTAACCGTTCTGTATAGTAGCGCGATGTTGTATGTGAGAAGTATAAAATTTTACAGGGTCCGGTCCGCTTTTATGACAACGAAAGGAAAGCGTACATTCTTCTAAAACAATTCCTAGGTAAGTTTACTCCTTGATATTGGTAACGGAAGAAGAGAGGGAAAAAATATAAGGGGGAAAATAATTAGTTATTTAGAGTCGAAAGGATAGCTGTTAAAATACGTATTGCGGATTAAATTTTATAACGATTATAATTTAACGATTGACGGGAGAATTTAAATAAATAAAAAACATGTCGCGCATTTTGTGCAAAATGTAGATCGGAATTATAATTTAACAAAAGGATTTTTAGATTGTGCATCGGATAAAATGGTGGTAAAGTATGCATGCGATTTCAATTGCGCACTGTTTTTTGCCCAGTATATATGTGTATAATCGGCTATTTCGCATCAGCGGTGTAATTTACGGATCAGCGCATGCATTTCGCGCGATCGATCTGATTTAATAATAAAACGGAATATAAATGATTTGAAATTTGAAATAGGAAGGTTATTTCTGTTTCGCGCGTTTTTTGGCTGAACGTGGGGCTCATCCTTCTAGACGGTCGCGAGGTAAACGTGGGCGAGTACGATAGCATAACCGGCAATCTGGATCTGAAAAGAGGGGAGGTCCCGCTGTGGAACGGCAAGCCGCCCCCGAAAGACAGGACCGTTCGCATCATCGAGCACTCCACCGTGGACATCACGCTGTACGCGGTGCTAGCCTCGGCCGCTAGTGTCGGTATCGTCTTGGCATCCATTTTTCTCGCCATCAATATCAGATACAGAAATCAAAGGTGACGGCTCCGCCGTAATATGTAACAATTATACAACACACGCGCGTTGCAACACGGTTTCTCCATTTGGCTCCCAGATTACTTTTTCCTAACCCCATATCCCCTCCTCCCCCCCTCCCCTCCCCCTCCCCATCCTTCGCCCTGGGGAGCCAACCCGCGCGGCTCACACGCGAAACTCAATATTGCAGATACATCAAAATGTCATCGCCCCACCTGAACAACCTCATCATCATCGGTTGTATGCTGACCTACAGCAGCGTTATCTTCCTCGGACTAGACTCGCAATTATCGAGCGTGGCGGCGTTCCCGTATATCTGTACGGCCCGAGCGTGGTTGTTGATGGCTGGTTTCTCGTTGGCCTTCGGCTCCATGTTCTCGAAAACGTGGCGTGTACATTCCATATTCACTGACGTGAAGCTCAATAAGAAGGTAACTCTCGTTAACGATCGTGACGAGGATCGCCGCGCCGTCTCGGGCGCTCGCTTTCGTGTTTAACGTTAACGACGTCTGTGCCGTGATTCAGGTGATAAAAGATTATCAATTGTTCATGGTCGTCGGGATATTGTTGGCTGTCGATCTCACGATCATGACAACATGGCAGGTAGCCGATCCGTTTTATCGGGCGATAAAACAAATGGAGCCCTATGTGAGTATAAAAATGTGCAAAAAAGAAAAAAAAGAAAAAGACAAAAGAAATGTACATATAATGTACATGTTAATGAATATATAACGCTTGCAAATTTCGGCAAGTTTTCATCTCTGTCCCGTATCGTAATCGTTCGCGAAGCGCGAACTCGCGGTAACGCCCGTTAATATGCGAGTTGCCTCTCGATTGCAGCATCACCCTTCCAGCGAGGATATAATAATCATCCCGGAAAACGAGTATTGTCAGAGCAATCAAATGAATATTTATCTGTTTTGCATATATGCATACAAAGGCCTTTTAATGGTAAGTTAAGCTGAATCGCTAAGCGCCTCTCGGCGGATAAAATGGCACTCACCAGCTCACGGCTTTCAGATATTCGGTGCCTTTCTGGCATGGGAAACCCGGCACGTTAGTATACCGGCATTAAATGACAGTAAATACGTGGGGATGAGCGTGTACAACGTTGTTATAATGTGCGTCACTGGTGCAGCTATAAGTTTTGTGCTGACTGACAAGCAGGACGCCATGTTCATAATGTTGGCAGTGTTCATTATATTTTGTAGTACAGCCACTCTTTGTCTGGTTTTTATTCCTAAGGTACGTCTCTTACGTCTCGCGTTTTCGAATTTATTGATCTTCGATTTGAAATGAAAGGATTGCCCGATTGAATGCTGCCCGTTTAGCATTTTCCGAGCTAAGACTCCGGCAAACAAGTTTAATTTTAAATCACAAAGGTCTCAGAGAAGTTCTCGTTCATTTAAGCATGATACTATTGATTTATTCGGCATGATCTACTACTTGTACTTCTATTCGTACGTCCACTCTTCAGCAATCTTCTTATTACAGCGGGGAATCTCTGTAGAACTCTCTTCCAGAGTCTGCTCGGAATTCTTATTTAAAGAGAGAGAGACCTTTCAATTATCTGCGGTGTTAAGCTTCTTTTTACATTTTACATTTACATCATTAGAAAGAAAAAGAATTTACTTATTTATTTATTTTTCCGTTTTATCTGTGAAATATTTACCTATGCAATTTTCTTTTCCGTTGTAAATACATTTTATGTTTTTTATACGCATGTTTTTAAAGGATCAGCCCTAGAACGATATTTGTTCTATTCTTGGGGTGAAAGCGACAAAGCCAAGTAAGTCTCTTGGGATTTTCAGGTAATAGAATTACGCAGAAATCCACAAGGGGTGATAAATAAGCGGACCAGGGCGACTCTGAGGCCGATGTTGAAAATACGAAGGGACTCGACAGTCAGCGAGCTCGACGAGCGTTTGAAGGAGGCGAAGTTGGCGAATAAAAAATTCCGGAAGCAATTGTTACAAAAGGATTCCGAGCTTCAGGTAAGTTTTATCGCCCGTAATGCCTCAAATGCATTATAGCGTATATTACTTCGTCGGAGTTACGTAAACAATTTGTCACGTAAACAGTTTGTCGCAGAATCGTTTTTATTCTTTCAGATTCCGCGATAGATTTAAAATCTAGATTTTTTTTAACATTCGGAATCAAAATTAAGCATCGTTGAGAGAATTTGAATTTTAGAAACCTTAAAAAGATGGAAAAAGATGGAAAAACATCTCACGTAATACGTAATATTTTATATAACAATCGTCCGCATTATGCCATTATGTTTGTCTCTTTTCAACGAGCAATTTCGCTAAAATTTCGCGTTTCCTTGACGAAATGTATGCCGTTTAATAAAACACTCAGCCGTGCACCGAACTAATTTGAGGGAGGTCGATGGCGATGGATCTTCGATTAACGGAGAAACGAACAACGCACCATCCATCCTTAATTCGGTTATATATAAATAATTATGACGTCATTGCTTCGTGCAGTTTGCCCTCTGAGAATAACAATCTAAAATTATTTCGAACTCCCAGTACGCTTGGCACGTTTACATTTACGTGATATTGTACTTAATCTAGAAATGCCGCATTTATACCGAGTGCGTGCGCGGCGGCTAGAGAAAGCTTATTTCATTATCTCACATATTACTTTAGGGATTTTTAAGGAGAATGGGGGAGGAGACCGAGAGCGAAACGCAAGAGACGGTCGACACGTTGCCAGTCCCAAAGCCAGAAGAGACTGTCAAGAAGGAAGGTAAACATTTTGTTTAACATCTTAGTTAAAGAAGTTTGCTGTATTTGCCGAGTAAAATTGAAATTCTACAGTTTTGAAGTAACGTCGTTATTAATTAAAATGTATATTGGCTTGAATATATTTTTCTCACGTGGAGGGAAAACAATTTTTCCTAAACCTTTTTTAATATATTCTGGACTCCAAACCTGTTTAAAGCGGAAATTAATGGAAAAATTGCAAACTCCGCGTCAGTTTGATATCAGCAAAAAATAGACGTTATTAAATCACCATGTTAATAATATCGGTTTATTTATTCGACAGGACCGTCGATAACCACAGAGACGACCGATGTTTCAATGTCCATGTGCAGCCTGAACTCGTCAACCGTTTCTCAGCCAGAGGGAGATTACGTCAACGTAGATCAAGTAGCAAAGTACGTATCCACGTTTGACACCAAATTCCATCTTTTAGATCTAAACCTTTCAACGGAATATGGCCAAATTGACTGTTGTGTATAGACGAATTATTTGAAGAATAATGAATTGTCGCGATAGATTACAACGAATAGCAATTTCAAAGCTAATTTAATAATTCGCAATTATACAAGATAATCAATTATTTATAATTTATTAGTTTTTTTTTTGTATCAAGTTTTGTAAAAAGTTAGGCTTGAACGTTTCGATAATTCTCATCATACCCTGCTAACCACATCCCGAGAGTCTCCGGCGCACCCAGTTCGCCGTCCATCCTCAAGGTAGTCGCGTGGTGCTTGTTATAGGAAGAGGGCGTCTCTCTCGAAAGCCACGTCAATCATCATCGACAACGAAAGAATGGCTGTAACGGCCCAGGCGCTCGAGGAGAGCTCCTCTCCGGGTGCCGAGGTGGCGGTGGACGCGACGCCGCCGCCGTCGCTATCGTTAATGACCACAACGACGACAATGGCGCTAACAACGACGACGACGACGACGACGACGACCACGACGACGACGACGACGACCACGACGACGACGACCACGACGATGACGACGACGACGACGGCGCATATGAAGCACACGTGCGGCGCGGACGCGTCGCGGCGCAAGAGCGTCCCCGACGAGGCGGGCAAGGTCACCGAGCCGTTGCTGAAACGCAACAGGAGTCCGGAACCGCTGCCGAGCGAAGCCGTGACCACGCGTTACGGTTTCGTGCCGCCGGTTGTCGAGGAAAGCGACTCCGTGATTCTGGAGGAGACCGAGATCGCGAGACACGTGTGTCGCGTGAGGAGGAGAAGTAAAGACGAGCGCAGGGCGAAGTTGTCAACGCCGCCGCCGACAAAGAACGTTTCCTTCGGCGAGCTCCACGAGCAGAGCTACATCGAGCACGTCATGCCTTTCTCCTTGCAATACGTACCGAATCATCGGCACGCCGGTAAGAATCCAAGTTTCTTTTCCGCGGATATTGGACAGATCAGTTAAAGTTAAAGAGCATAAAAAAAAAGGAAACGATTATCTTATTAGGAGAGTTGATTTTTGTTATTTGCGTTCATTGAGCGTTCTTTGTTCGAATATTGTCCTATAAATTTTACAAACTATATACTATAACTATACTCAGTCAGACTGATTACCACGGAAGATTATTTTAAACATCGTGCCTGTCCATTTTTTTAACATGAGTCATGAGATCACCCAGCCAGATCTTTCTCGAGCGTCTGTAGATGTTGTGCCTGTGAGCGCGAGGCGATACGTCGAGGGTTACTCTGTTGACAGGGAAGTACGACGAGTCGATGTCGACGATCATCCAGCGTTCCATGTCGGAGCGCACGAGGGAGAAGTGCCTGCGGTTGCACATCGGTGGCGGCCATCCCATAGTCGAGTGCTCGCATCGCGTCGCCCGTCGTATGTGCCGGCACGCGGGCTCGAAGCTGCGCCACCAGGCGCGGCTGGAGTACGTGCAGAGCACCCCGAATGTGGCGACGATGCACAACGGCAGGCACGTCGCGGCGAATGCGCGCGATGGAGCCGGCGACGTCAATGGTAGCGTCTCGTCGTTGATTAATAGAACGCGCGACTGGTACAGCAACGCGAAATTCGCGGAATACTAAATACGACCGGAGGCGCGCGTCTCCGCGCGCGAGACAGAGAGATGGAAGGAGATCCGTTGTAACAATTAGAAAATGATTAGAACTTAATGATTCCACTTGGCAGCTGTACATATATTAAAAAGTATATTTCCTCGGACATCGCGTCTCGGGTCTCAGAAATGTCATGATTTCTTTACGAGCGAGATATCTCGATGAGGTACCGCCGATTTCTCGTTGTACAGAAAATAACGTTGCATTTGCGCCAAAGCTAACGATAAATACGAGGGACGAGATTTCGTCGCGACGAAGATGGCGATAAAAAATTTTGAAACGTT